GAATTGCATCAAAAGGTAACCATACTAGTCTTCCATTAAAGTTCTTGAAATCTGGGCTAAAATGATATGTAACATAATTTCAGTCATCAATACAGTTTTAAAAATGATATTCTACAAATTTCTGACTACTTGTATTAAACTATTGGTAAGCGTTCAAACATTATCACACATTCGTTTTTAAATAGAAAATATAATTTAGTTCATGTAAACATTTACACATTGGTTGCAGAAAGTCACTGTTGTTATTCTGAGTTGCTTAACAATGTTTAGCTTTTGTGAGGCAGAACAAGCTGGTTTTTCTTATTTTTGCTTTATTTGTGCTACTGTCCACCCCCCCACCCAGTTTTCTGGATCTCTGTTAAACAAGCAAGGAATTTTTACAGAATCCAGCCATGCTTTCCTAATGAAGAGTTTACTGCTTCTTAAAATGCTGTGCCTTGAATTTTGCCTAACAGCATCTTCCTTACCTCTTTGGTCAGTGCTGTTAGACTGGAACGTCACTTAGGAACAAGGACTATGGGATACCCTGTGCTGCTTCTGCATTGAAAGATCAGGTTAGGGATAGATTGTCATGGTGAAAATCTATGTAGTTGCTTAGAATTGACAACAAATTGTTGGCATATAATCAATCAACCAATTGTTTGTTTAAAAATTATTCCATATCTATTTAATAATATATTAAGCTCGGGTACTTAATTTTGTAATAATCACTGTTAGAATCCTTGAATTTAAGTTGCAAGAAAGTATTGTATAGATTAAGCAGAATCTGGAGCATGGTAGATAAATAAAAGATGGAATAACAGACTTGTGGTTCATAGAGATTCTGAGGTTTTAAGGTCAATATTTTTGACCTAAAGCAGGAAGATAAATAAGCATGAGACTATAGATATCCAGACTTTTTACAGTTCATTTTATATAGCTCATCTGCTGTAGAGTAGCCTAAGGAAGGAAATGGCATGAATCTTCATACTATTTGTAGTCACAATGCTGGTAGTGCCCAAAATATGTCGGAATATGCAGAACATTAGTTTTGTTCTTCATAAACCAAGACACTTTTAGTTGTAAATTTAGTTATATACTCTGCCTACAGTCCTTAATCTGCTTTTCCTAGCAGAAAGTTTTATTCCTACTTCCTGGACTTCTCCTTGGTTTTAGTCATTGTGTTCTGTTCCTAATCAAAATCACCTTTCATATGATAGACAATATAGACAACTCAGAAAAGGTTAAATAGAATCATTACCTGAAGATTATTCTGTTTCAATAAATTGTTGCTATTTCTAATTGAGCTCTATACTCTGTATGCTTTTGGATAAGTCTCTGAAAATCATAAATTCTGAAAGATGAGCAGAACTTCAATGCTGGTAATTGGGTGTTGTTATTCTTTTATGGTATTAACTCAGTGTCTGGCTTTGGTCTGTATATAAAATTATTTTGCATGATCTTGTTTCCAGGTGTTCATAGGAACAACTGTGCTTCTCTGAAACTAGAAGCAAATATTTTCTATTTCCTCTAACTATGTCATTATTAGTTTTTACTCAGTAGTACCACAATATGTCTATTTATATACATTTATTTATTCTAACCATCTCTTTTGCCAATATAATTTATTTCACATTTGGGATTGTAGATATAGCTGGAAAAAAGGTCTGTGATAAATATATATTTAAATACTTAAGGCATTTATGAAATAAACTTTTTAAAAACATGTCTTCACTTTTACAGTTGAATTTATTCTGAATTCATTGTACTATGAATTTGTATTTTGTGTGTTAGATATGAGGACTTTGTGCTCTTATTCTGCTTACATCTTTAAACCTTTGAAATGTTTGCTTTAATCTGCAGTTCCAAATCAGAGTTGTGTCAGTCTGAAAATTGCATCAGTATAAGAGCCAAAAGTAAACAGGGCTTGTTTAAAATTCTTTTTGAAATAGCACTAGACACTGGAAGGACATGTAATCAATCCAGTGAAGGATAACATTATTAAGAGTTAGATACAAAATATATCAGGGATGGAAAGTATGGCTTCAAAGATTGGGGCAGTCTGAAACCTTCTTGATTTCAATCTTTTTGTAGTGGATACTTGGTCAAATAATGAGTGTGCCAGATCATGTAACACCTTTTCGTATTCCATGTGTTGTGCCATACTCCTTCTAATACCTGGTGGGGCTATTCCCAGCAAAATATATAGCTTGTCAAGGGGTGGGACACAGACATCTATATATCACTCATGCAGCGAGAAATGTGCAGTAAGATGTATATGTATGCAAAATTATGCAATACATATATATATATGTATGCAGCAAAGTGGGCTGCAAACAAATTTAATAAATAAACAAATAAAACATTTTTGAACCTCATTGTTGGAGAAGACTCATGAGAATACAATAGACAGCCAAGAAACTGGACAAATGAATAATCAAACAAATCAACCCAGAGTCTTCACTTGAGGCACAAATGATCAGGTTAAATTTTTTCTTCTTCAGACATATTATGTGAAGACTTAACTTTGTGGAGAAGACTCTAAGTTAGTGCTGGGAAAAGATGAAAAGAAAAAGGTGGATGAATTCAGTTACCATGACAATGGATACATTGTTGGAAGACCTGACAAACAAGATTAGGGACAGATCGTCATGGGGAAAAAAAATCTATGTGATTGCTAGGCACATAATCAATCTCAGCTTGTTGTATTCTTTAGCCATTGCTTTCTTCCTTGAGATTATGGTTTCCTGGCATCTGTCACTTCTCTCCATCTTATTTCTGTTTCAATTCTGTCCTTCTCTTATGGCATCCTTCTATTTGTTACTCATGACCAGAGGCCTGAGATGGCCTCTGTTGAAAGTGGTCAATTCCCATCAGTACTTTTTTCAAAAAAAAAAAAAAAGGTGCCGGAACTCACACACGTCATACAACCTGCCTTGCCTACCCTACAAGGTTCCATCCAAAAAAGGTGCTGGAACTCTGTTCTGGGTGTTCTATGAGAAAAAAAGCATACTAGGAAAGTGGTCAATTCCTATCATACTAGGAATTGGAGATGGTGAGCAGCTGTGGCTTCTCCATTTCACTATCTTGGGGCTAATTGTTATACATATGGTAAAGAAGAGGAAGAACAGGATGTTCTTAGCTGTTCTTCCTTTCCTTCTACAAAACAGGCCAACGTCTGTTTTGCAAGAGTTTCAGTTTCAGGTGTGTAATGGGTACATTAGTGCATCTGCAGGACTTGTGATGGCCATTTTCCCTCTTTAATTTTCCCCAACTTCAAAAAAATAATTTTTTTGACCTCAGCCATCCTTGGAAGTTCTGAGATCCAGAGAAGGAATGCTGGTGGGTGGAAGCCCCAAGCTATCCATTTTGCAATATATATTTAGTATTTATATTTGGTAACTTTAAATCATTGACTTAATGTTCCAGATATATATGTCAGAAGACTAATTATAGAAGTTGCACATTTCTATAATTCTTATAATATGTGATAAACACTAGGATGAATCTATCTATCTATCTATCTATCTATCTATCTATCTATCTATCTATCTATCTATCTATCTATCTATCTTAGTGTTCTTTACACACACATACACACACAAACACTCATGCTGTATCATTCTTTTCAGGAATTATACCTGAGCAAATACTTGTAGTTTTCTTAGCAAGATTTTTCAGAAGATATTTGACATTGCCTCCTTCCTAGGGCTGAGAGAAAGTGACTGGCCCAAAGTCATCCAGCTGGTTTTTTGCCTAAAATGGGACCAAAATTCATGGTCTCTCGGTTTCCAGTCTGATGCCTTAATCATTACACCAACCTGGCTCTCATGTTCTGCTGTTTATTTTTAATCAAATGTGAATGTTGTTTTGTAATTTTTGTGGATGATGTGCAACATTTACTTTGTAATAGTTTTGTGATTTTTATGTACAACCCCCCCATGCAAGATAAAATATACAAAATTTGAAAACAAAAATATGGAAACAATGGAATAGAATTGGAGAAACTATTTAGAAATTTTGAAAGCTAGACATAAATTAAAATATTAATTAAAAATACTTGAAGGCTTTTAAAAGTAAAAATTTAGTTTAAAAAGAACAGCTAATGAAACTCAGTTCTTAAAGCATTCCCTTGCTGTTATTACATTCTTTGCTATATTTTAAAAATAATTCACAATTCTATCTTGGATCAGAAAAAGTACTCCCGTTTTCCTATTCCTCCTTTTTATTTTTTTCAACCTAATGGAATATTGAAAAGAAATTATTAAGAAAAGTTTTAGTTCACTCAGTTGAAGGCTGTTACCCCTCCAGATCCACAAAGTCTCCAGGCACTGAAAAAGGACATCATCAGCATCACTTAAGCTCACTAGGGATGGAGATGTAAAGCTGAATATCATCAGTACACTGATGGTTTCTCACCCCGTGGTGACAGATTATCTCATCCAGCAGCTTCAGATAGACCTTAAACAGGAAAGAAGTGGAAAGAATACTGAATCCTGCAAATTCCCCATACTATAGGCTGAGGGGGTGGGATCTCTCATTTCCAATCAAGACTCCTTTACAATACCACCATCCCCTTACCCAGTTACCTAATTCCTTCCTTCCTTCCTTCTTCCTTCCTTCCTTCCTTCCTTCTTCCTTCCTTCCTTCCTTCCTCCCTCCCTCCCTCCCTCCCTCCCTCCTTCCTTCCCTCCTTTCTTTCTTTCTTTCTTTCTTTCTTTCTTTCTTTCTTTCTTTCTTTCTTTCTTTCTTTCCTTCCCTCTTAAATTTTCTGAGAATGCACTAATTAAGGAGAAGCTGTTCTTGGAAAGTATACCTTATCTCACTTCCCTGGGCAAGCTGTCTCCAAGGCTATCAATAGTGAAGAATAAGAAGACCAACAAATCTCAAACAAACCGAAATAAAACATGATTTATGAGTCTTAATAAAAGTATAAACACTAATAAAATATTCTAATATTATATTCTATAAAAAGTTCTAACATTCAAATGAATAACACATTTGCTTTTATGATTTAATAGGTTGCACCTAATGATGAAGCTGTTATAACATTGCTTTGTGAATGGGCTGTGAGTAGTAAAAGATCTGGTAAGCACCGGGCAATGGCTGTAGCTAAACTATTGGAGAAGAGGCAAACTGAAATTGAGGCAGAAGTAAGTTATCTGCTAGTCTTCATTTCTAGAGGAAAATTTGCTCCATCTTTTAGAGACCAAGCATGATGTTCCTGATTTGCAGTGCAAATCTGTCTACAGAGAATCTTTTGGACAATTCTAAGGAAGCTTTAGCATGCTTCCCACATTTTTGGGACAAAACAAAGAAAAAGCATTTACATATTGGACTTCCTATAGTTCACTTTGAATTTACAGATGGTACATAATCAAAGTTGTATAACTTAAAGAAAGTACTAAACTGCCACTTTAAAACTGCTGGAATTATTTTTCAGGCTATGGTTAAATATCTTTTACCACATCATGTAAAAAAGGTATTTAAACATAGCGGATAGATGCAATAGTCCCCTTTTATTCATGTAATTCAGCAGCAGCCATAATAGTATTTTTAATTCATAGAGGCATGCATTAATTATTTTCTTCTCTGTAGATAATATTTGTATGTAACCTAGAGTCCTATCGGTGCTTGTGGCTATTTACAGAAAGATTATAAAAGATGTTCCAGTGTTGAAGACCATATACTATATATTTATTTATTTGTTGAATGTATACCTACTGCAGTTAACTGATCCCTGGCAGTTTACAGCACATGAAAGAATAAGCAGCAGTATTTATCATATTTTAAAATGTCCACAATAGAAAATAAAATTAACAAATTTATAAGCTCACTAATTAATAATAATAATTAAGCACACTGAAGTCAAGGAAAAGGTTAAAAGTGACTATATCATAAGTATGAAGAAGATCTAAAAGTCCAAACTCAGTGGAATAAATACAGTTAATGCAATTAACACCTGGGCAATTCTGCTCATCAGACACATAGTTGGAATAGTGAACTGGGCTCAAGTAGAACTAAAAGCCCTGGATAGGAAGACCAGAAAATGATGTCAATGAATCATGCCTTTGTTGACATATTCTACTTACCAAGGAAAATAGATGGGCATGGAATGTTGTAAGTATACCAGGCAGTTGAAGGAAAAGGGGTATAGAAGAATATCTGGAGAACATTGTAGAAGATGCAGTGAAGCTAGTATATCATGAAGGCTTACTGAGTACTAGAGAAACCAGACTGATCTACAAGCAAGACCAAATGAAGAATAGAATAGACATAGCAAAGCAAAATGTTAAAACAAGATTTGGCAATGGCTAAGAACAGAAAAAATAGAAGAAAAAGAGGAGCTAATTCTGGCTCACAAGATCAAGCCTTAAGAATAAATGAATACAAAGCCAGAGAAGATAGCCATAGACAACAAATGCCATATCTGCAAAGAAGCTGAGGAAATAGTGGTTAGATCAGTTCACTGCTGCTGGAGGATTGCATAGATCAGTGTTTCTCAACCTTGACCATTTTAAGGCATGTGGACTTCAACTCCCAGAATTCCACAGCCAGCAATGCTGGCTGTGGAATTCTGGGAGTTGAAGTCCACATGCCTTAAAATGGTCAAGGTTGAGAAACACTGGCATAGATTGACTGCAAAAATAGCATGACAAAGTACGGTGCTTTGGAAGATCTGCAAGAAATACCATTTGCTGCAAGCAAGAACTGGTGGGACCATAAAAACAAAGCAAGAGAAAATGAAAAAGCTAAAGTGCTCTGTAACTTTAGAATTTAAACAGTCAAGCATCTGCCACATAACAATCCAGGTTTAACATTTGTTCAAAGAAAAGTAAAAAATGTCTGGATAATGAACATGGCAGTATCTGGACACAGCAGAATAGAAAAGAAATAACTGGAGAAAACGACATAATAAAAAGACATGCAAATAGAAATAGATTTACTAGTAATAGCTTACATCCCTGACAATATCTTTAACACCATCAAACAATATCTGCTTACCCTAAGTCATTGGGGAAAGACTCAGTCAGTGGATAAAAATACCAAATCCAGTCTAAACATCTGACTGACTCTGTGATGAACAATAATAATACCATCAATACCATAGATGGCTAGACCACACTGTGATACAATACATTGCTAGAATTATTAACTGGATAGTGTAACCTGAAAAACTAGAAATCTGATACCTATTCACTATATTGCATCCCTGTAGTGATATTAATTATTATACCTGCCCTCCAGAAATGGAGGGAGAGGTTTACTTCTGGTCAAACAAACTGTCAAAAAAAAAAGCATGCCTTTTCAAAGGAAACTGGATTTTGTTTTTCTTTGAAGATGTTTCACTTCTCATCCAAGAAGCTTCTTCACTTCTGACTAAATGGTGGAGAATGGAAGGATTTATATTCCTCGCAGTCATCTGGTCATTAGCACTCATTCTGAGAGTCATTGAGGCCATATGGAGGTTTATCTGTGCTCTCAGGATCACCCAAATAGTGCAAATGGTTGTGGAACTTTCTTGAAAGTTCCTGAAAGGACTCTGTTGTAAACAGGAGATAAGTGTTGTTGTATTCCTCTCTCTGGGTTGAGAGAGGGCTGTTCAGTCTTAATGTAGATGGCCCCTTTGACCCTCTTTCAAACCTCTTTTGGTTCAAACCTCTTTTGGTTTGAAAGAGGGATCAAAGAGGCCATGGATGAGAAGCAAAACATCTTCAAGGAGAAACAAAGTCCAGTTGCCTTTGAAAAAGCACCTTTGGGACAACCATGACCTGGATGACTGAGAATTTCCATAGATATATGGCTGATTATGTAAAAGACAGTCAAAAGCAAGTATTAATGCAAGTTAAAAATGGTAACTAACTAAATGTACAGGAAACAAAAAGTGAAGGGGATGAAAGTAATTTTTATAGTTATGATACTAAAAATCTATTATTTTATTTTATATACTTTTATAGAGATGTGGTGAAATTGAAATCATAGATGAAAAGGAGTCCATTTCTTCAGCATCATTTGCTGGATCTAGTCTCCCTGTTTTCCAGAATGTTCTCCTTAGGTTTTTAGATACTCAAGCCCCCTCCTTACGTAAGTATCAAATTATATCTGTTCCAGATTAGGATTAAGTACATTTAACATTTTCCCCAACAACTGTATTACTTTTTGTACCTGCTTGGATTTATTGGAAAATTAACAAAATTCAATCCTTTATCTATTGTTAGCTGATCCACACAGTGAACATGAAAAAAGTGAATTTGTGAACCTAGTGCTGCTTTTTGGTGAATTTATACGGCATGATGTTTTCTCACATGATGCTTACATGTGCACTTTAATATCACGTGGAGATTTATCTGTCACTGCAACTTCTAGAGCACGTTCACCAGCTGGGGAAAACATGGATGAGCACTATTCTAAGGAACATGATGTGAAACTTGAGGTAAGGAGTCCATTGTTGCCTTATCATGGAGATGGGCAGCATATAAATTTAATAAATACTTTATGTATAAGATTGGATTATTTGACCTCTGAATTGATATATAATATTAGAAGAAACCTGAAACAATAAGTTTAAAAGATAATTTGTAATTTGCCGTAATCTTTGGGCTTCCATGGCTGCTACTGGATGAAATGAAATAAAATGCTACTTGTCTGGCTCTTCTACATCAAATGGTATTTATAAAAAAAAAAACCCAATAGAAATAGTTAATTTTGAAAAAAATATAAATGGATTTGTCTCATTCAAATACTTCCAAAAATGTACAACTCTTGATGATTTACAATAATAAAAACTAACACAACAATGTAGCCACAATAAAAATACAATATTAAAAAATTAAAGAAGTAATAATAAATGTTATAGAATCATTGTGCCAACACATACCAGGCAACAGCAACTTTCCAAAGTCCTGAGAAACACACCTTTGAAAGCTCACTATAGTTAGTGCAAGTCTATTATTCCTATGTGGGGACACCAACACAGGAAAAAGGATGTACTTAGAATTTGCAAGCAAATTTTGGAGAACTTTTTGTTTTAAGTATAGAGGGTCTTGTTTCCCTCTTTGAGGCATTTGGTAAAATCAATAATGTCTATGGGATTCTTGGTGCTCTCTGAACTTGGTGGTTTTCTTGCAGATATTTCACTACCCAACTGTGGGAGAGGAAACTTACAAACATATATTTAATACTGCTTATTGTTTGAAACTACAAGAATATTTCTTTCCAGCTTTTAAATACATTGTAATTTATGCTGCCTTAGAGAAATTTTAATCCTCTAGAGCAACCGAAATTGTTTGCTACACTTTTTCTTCCTCTTCACTGAAGTACCTGATCCCATAGCAGAACGACACATTTCCTGAGAGATTATTCATTCATTGTAAACAAATCTACAGACTGATCTTCTGAGCACAGTCTACTCAAGCTTGTTAATTTTATTATTTTAAGCACAATTCCAAATATAACCTATCTTGATTGTAATGTGTATTGATTATTATAAAGTATTCATTCTTACTGCATATAATCAGTAATTTAAGTTATAATTGAATTCATATAATTTGTGACGAGTCCAAAGGGTTTTCACTACACTCTGACTCACATTTTTGTTTTTTGTCTCTTTGGTGACAATTAGGAACATAGTCTTATGGAACAAATGTATATTGACTCAGGAACCACTAATATTTTTGATGATGTAGACAAGAATGACTTTAAGACAGACTTTGGTTCGGAATTTCCAGTAGGTTTCACTCCTTATTTTAAACCCACAAACTATATATTTATTCATTATTCCCTTTGCTACATGACATCATGGAATATGCTCTGATTATCTACTGTACATTTTCACATACCTCAACTTGTCTAGCAGAAATCTACTTTTATTCTGTGAAACAGTATCATATTAGGTTTTCAGGCTTCCTCATCTATTTCCACTAATGTTCAAAATACCATTGTGGTTACTGCGTCATGCACACCTTCAAGCATAACTTCATATTGGTTTTTGTTGTTGTTGTTGAAAATCCTGAAATTCAAATAATTTCATAGACCTGGCAATGTTGGTATTTATTAGTGTAACATGGATAGCCACTTCATCTGAACCAAATTTCAGTATGTAGAGGCTCAAGGTCCCCAAGAGGATGTTTGAACACGCAGTATGTAGAGGCTCAAGTTCCCCAAGAGGATGTTTGAGCACGGTGTGATGTTTAGAAATGAGGTATTTTTGAATAATCAGTCATCAGTGGCCTCACAACAAAGCCAAATATTTCCCATATCAAAAAAATAAGAAAAATAAATATGTTTTACATTTCTTTGATGTACAGTATTGTACAAACACATACTGTAATTGTTTTCTTGCTAAAATAGAAACTATTAGTTTTAGATGTTTCTGAAAAATGTTAATACTTCCCTCCAAAATTTATATAAAATTTACTGTAAGCATTTACCTCAGTGTTAGCCTGAGTTATAGGTTCTTCACCTTATTGTGTGATAGGCTATTTTCAATCTTTATATCAATAGCATAGGGAAGAGGTGAAAAAGGCATTTTTAAAGAAACTCTTTTATTGGGCATGTTAATTGATACTGCTGCTTATTTGAAGTTAAAAAAAAATCAAAATGTCAGATTGTCCTCTTGCTAAAATCCCAGAGAGCTACTGCTAACTGATGGTACTAAGTTAATTAGTACAGTGGTATGATTTAATAGAAATCCTGCAGTAAAATGATTGCAAATGTTATTGTTTCACTTGTGAATTGCAGTGAAGGAACTGAATGTTAACTGAAAACTTATAAATATCAGATAGTCCTCGACTTAGAACTGGTCCTTTAATGATCCATTCAAAGTTATGGTGGCCTTGGGAAGTGTGATTTATAGCCTATAAAACACTTCCGGATGGGGTAAAATTAATTAATATATAGGTCGCCCATCTTACCATAAGGTAAATTTGGGCAGCTTATAATCATGAAATATAAAAATATGTATTTATATTAAAATAAATAAATTAATACTCTCAAACACAATGATCCAGTTACATATGTCGAGGGAGGGGGAAAGAGGTAGGATATGTTATTAATTGACAACCATCACTGTGATGCTACCCCATTGGAGCCCCAAGCCAACTGGCAAAGCCAGGCCGTAATGAACAATCAGGAGGGTTGGGGCCAACCTAACATGGGGGGGGGAAGATTTTCCAGGTGCAACAGCAGAGAAGGCCTTCTCCTGAATCCTGCTGGCTGGGACAAATGGGCTGACAGGGCCCGCAGCATGCCTGCTGTACTGGCATGGGTGGGACAGTCTTAGTTGCCAAGCATCTGAAATTTGATCATGTTACCATGGGGTTAATGCAACAGTCGTAAATGTGAAAAATTGTCATAAGTCACATTTTTTAGTGCTGTTGTAATTTTAAATGGTCACCCAACAAATAGTTGTAAGTCGAAAGCTACCTGTAAATAGGCAGGTTTCTTTGGCATAAGAAATGGTTACCCTATTTTTATTTCTTTTTACTCAAAAGCTTTGCATTTGCCCCATTTTCTTATTACTACAACATAAAGGCTGGGAGCTGGAATAGGAAATTGTTCAGTAAAATTGTCGCTGCTTTCATGGAGTGTAGAAAGTTTGCTAGAATAGTAACTGTTATATTGCTGGTATTGAATGCTATTCCAACCTCCTCATCAGCATCTATAATTTCATTATTGCATATTTGAAGATACTTCCATTATATTCAAAATAAATCATAGATAACTTTGTTTTATTTCTTGTTTTTTCTTTCTTTTTTTTAAAAAATAACCATGCTATAAATCAGGAGGACATTTCTGTTTATAATATCAAATATTTTAAATGGTCTAGATCTTTTCTCCAATGCCTGGGGAGTCTTGTGAAAATCTGAATTCAATACCAGTACAAGACAGAAGACCTTCAGTAAATAATGAAAAGTCTACAAAGAAAGAAAAAGTAAGGGAGCTGATTTTTCCATCAAATTACCACCTTCTTCGACATTTGCAGTATGCTACACATTTTCCTATACCTTTGGTAAGTAACCCTTCCCATCTTTAAGAGTTGATGCAAACTTATGAACAATGAGATCCACTTCATATATATTAATTAGGAAATATGTCTTTGTAAGTTTATTGGGTTCCAAACTTATTGTCATCAGTTCATAATGTACATCACACTTTAGTTGGATTGAGACTCGCTCTCTAATTGGCTTCTCCATTATTTCACTGAAAAGAATAACAGTTTAATCATAGTTAAAACTTATTTTGTTATATGTAACGGATCTAATCAGTTAGAAATACAATTTGGGATGGATAGAATCAATATTATATAAACAGATTAAACTCTTATGAATGATGTTTTTGTTAGCTAGACTTCAGGGAATCAGTTTGGTGTAGTAGTTAAAGGCATTAAGGCACAAATTGGGAGATTGTGAATTCTGATCCAATCTCATGCATAAAGCCAGGTGAGTGACTTTGAGCCTGTCACTCTTTCTCAGCCTTAGAAAGAAAGCAACAGCAAACCACTTCTGAATATCTTGCCAAGAAAACTGCAGGAACCTGGCCAGACAGATAAAAGCATTATGTTTAATGGATGCACCATGGACTTTATAAAGAATTAAAAATGCTGGTCTTTTGAAAGGCGAACAGGTGTGAAATATTAGGTTTAGAGCCAAAGTTGGGTAATCTGTGCTCCCTCAGTTTTTAAAGGCTGCAAATTCAGGATTACTTATATTTTTGGAATGCTTCTTATTGCAAATAGGATGAAGTAATGTTTAAAGCCTAGCAAAGCATTTCTTCAGAACAACTGATACCTTGTGTAATTAAAGCAGAATGAGTTTGAGTCTCTTTCACATGCTTGCCTTTTTCCTGAATCAGTGTTCTACCTCCATGTTCCTGAGGTCTGTTAGACGTTCCTTCATATAGGACTAACATTTTCAGATTTCAAGGTGTTCTTCAGATATTAATAATAATAATTGAAAATTGCACAGTCCCTCTTGAAAGAAAGTATTGCCTGAAGTTACCCAAAAGGGAAAAAAATATGGAAGTTTCTTCTAATGAAATCCTTTGAAAACTGTCTTTTCCTATTTAGTTCTATTCAGAGGTGCTTAACATTTCCATAGCCTTGAAGGACACCAGTTTGGGAATAATGACCTGAAACACATCTGTTCTGCTTTAGCAATGGCAGACGTGCAATAAGGAGAAGAATAAGATAGAAAATAGTGTATGAAATGATATATATCTGTACTTTTTCTTTTTTCTGTGATCAATTTGATTAAAATTTCTCTTCCAACACATATAGTTATCTCTGTATTAAAAACAGCAAAGTAAGAACTGACTTACTATTAAGCAGATCATGAAAACATGGTTCTCTTTTAAGACCTTTGTGCGAGTCACCACATTCAGAAGCTCTTAATCTGAACTCTGGCAACATCTAACAATTATTCACTGATGAAATAATCTCTGCACTAATTTTGGAGACATTTTTCAGTAACAAATGAGATTTAAATCTTACCCAGGCCTTTTAAATGAACTTTTTAGCCAGTGTTCATGTTTCATGTCTTTCAGCTGTTTTCTACTGGTTTAATTATAGCTTTGTATGATGATGCTGATCTTATATTTTTACTATTTAATTTTGAACTATTTTGGGAAGTTCATTGCACTCTAGAGCAGGGATCCCCAACCCTGGTCCACGGCCCAATGCTGGCCTGTAGCCTATTCAGAAGCAGCCTACAGAAGTGGTGGGTGAAATCTGCATTTGTGAAAGTGGCATGTGTGTGCACAAAACCATCCCTTAATTCACTCCCGACCACTGCTGCTGCCGCTGGCACCGGTTCACCAAGCCGCCGAATCCTGAAAGGTTGGAGACTTTGATCTAGAGGATGAAGTATAAACTACTGTTTGGCATACCACCAGAAATGTCCATGTTCTCCTTCTGTTCAGTCTTACCACCTCTTGTCCCCAACAACCTGTAACCTTATTCAAACCATAGAAATCCAAACTATACCAAAGAAGTGGGAAGACAAATGTATTTTTAATGTCCTGTTCATGTGGAAAAGATTGCAATCTCAGCTGAAACCTGAAACTGTTGTATTTTCTCTCCATGCATTTCTTGATCACCTAGAGAAACATGTCTACCTTTAAAGGGTACAAAACTTTTAGTGGCTGTTAGCCTAAATGTTTTTGAAAAATAAAAACACAAAATGGGGTCAAAGCACAGGTTTGATACACTAAAAAGCAAGGTGGATTCTTTGGCTTTGTAAAGAGATTCTCTAAGAAAACAATCTGTGATTATAGTTTTACTTTGGCTTAGCGTATATGGGATTCGAACAATATGGTAAGGAACAAAGCATATGATGTAGCTTGCGGTAACTAAAAGGATGTTTACCAGAGCTCTTTTTACCCTGGGATAGCCTTCTGTACCTTTGTTTTGATACAGTAATCTGATCACAAGGAAATTAGAGATAAGCACCATAGCTGAAAAATACAGAAATATTGCAGTACATATGAAATTGGTGAACACATGCCAGTCTCTTCCCACTTTTGTTTTGAAATCAATGCATCCTACATTTGATGATTCTTCGATCTCTGTGATTGGTATAATCATATTTGGTACCATGATGAAGAGAACCATTACCCATACAACTGCTGATATCATCTTGGCAAAACCAGGTTCCTGAATCCTGTAGATCTTGTATCCCTTTGTTAACTGGAGGCACCGGTCCATGCTTAAAAATGCCAGGAATATGATTGATAAGTACATATTAATATAGATCAGGCATGCTGTGACTTGACAGTGGAATATTTTCAGTTTCCATGGGGCAACTCCTAAATCTACAATTATTTTCATTGGCAGGGCAAGGGTCAGCAAAAAATCTGCTGTTAGTAGGTTAATTAAGTAAACATTCATGCATTTGTGATGCTTCTTGGTCTTCAAGAAGTTCCAGAGGGCAAAACAGCTCCCAATGAACCCAATAAGAAAGATCAAGTAATAAATATAAGTGAATGGCTGCATTTGAGAGTAAATATTGCATTCTGAAGAATTGATGGAAGCCATCTGAAATGTTTAACAATAAAGGCAAATTATAGGAATCACCTTGAATCTGTGAATGAAAGAGAGAGAGAGAGAGAGAGAGAGAAAACAAGAAAGAAAGAAAAAAAGAAAGAAGAAAAATAATTGTTTGGGTAGAGTAACAAAACACAGCCTAACATACTTATTAGCTTAAGAGCCCCTCAACCTATACATTAGACCAAACGTTATGTAGAAAAGGTTTTTAAAGTTTTTGAATAAAGTCAGGATAGGAAAAGTTTAGGCATTGCCTATAATCTTAAAGGTAGTTTAATTAAGATGTAAATAGTAGTGTTGTATCAATGTTGGGATCATGTGCAAGGTGCTACTCTGCAACAAAACTAGTATTTTTTACCAGTATAAGTAGTAACAATTCTTAAAAAAATGTAGTGTCATTAATAGTGTAGTGTCACTAATAGTTAAAGAGAAACCAATGCTCTGATGATGTTACCTAGTTTGGGGGTAATAAAACATCTGCAAGAAAACAACCAAGCATAGAGATCACTAAGGACCTTTTTATTTCAACCTTGACCTACAAATATCGTTCTTTATTGGTACCACAGTATGATTGTCTACTGTTTTCACAATCAGAATGAGAGAACCTTCTTTTTTGCATTTCTTCAGCTATTTGACTATTTGTTCATTCTTTTATTTCTTTGGTAATTGTTTAACAAATGTTGTGCCCAGAAAAAAAAGGGGGGGAAGGGGAAATAACAAAAAAAGCAACCAAAGCAAAAAAAAAAAAAAAGTAAAAAAACCCCCTCTCCTGATCAATCTGTATTTCACCTAGAAGAGAGAGAACTGTGGAAATTAAGATCTGCCTCAGTCTGCCATAAATAAAGAGAAGCTCAGTGTGCTGTTTTGTTTCAAAGGTGGTTTTGCATCCTGTTCTATGCCTGTTTATTTAACAGTAGAATAAACTTATAATAACAATAATACATTATCCAGTCTGGGTGGGCATTTCAATGGTTTGAAGAGGCTTTAGTAGTATAAATCTTGCATGAACTTTTTACATTCCTTTTAATTTGTCACATGCTTAATTTATCTCAGAGTAAACCCGTAATAACTGATGAAGTTCAACATTACCCTTGAGATTTAGAAAGAAATATGGCACTACATATGACATTAAGCATAGTTAGAAAATGATAATGAGATATATTTTAAGAGTACATACCTGCTGTCTTAGCTAATGTTTCAGAAAAACAGAAGTAGTTCTGTTTAATGTTGCCCAGCGAGTTCTTTCTTCGGTTTGTGGCTGGTATAATAGAATTTCCTGTGTCTTTCAAGTTTTCCAGTTGATGCATGGGAAATCAGAAGTTAGTTGAAAATCTTAGGTGTGCAAGATAGCTAGTTAAAAGCTGCTTAAAGAAAGATATAGAACAATATCTGATGCAAGATAGCAAAGTTGTTGCAGCAGCAGAAAATCCATTCTCTGTTTTTGTAACAAGGGCTTTGTGTGTTTGTGTGAAAGAGAAAGTGAGAGCAAGTAAAGTTATGAAAATGCAATAATGAATTTTTATGAGAAGAAGCTAGTTTTCATGTAGAATTGCTATTGTTGTATTTCTGTTGTGTAATGATTCCCCTGTCCTTCAATTGATTTAAATCAAAGGGAAGGCTTTGCTGAAGAAATGAGAGAAGTAAGAGCATTGAATAGAAGATATTATGCAATGGTGGACATTTTGTTTTTAAGAGAAATTGATGCTGAATGTAGACAAATACTTATCTAGAACTTTTAAAAAAGTAGATTTTAATGAACTCAGAGCAATTATAACAGCATTTCTTGGTAAGAGCAGCTAAGGCATCAGCACTGACTCGAAGTCCCCACCCCCTACTCTGCTACCTTATTGTGATGATAGTGGTGTGTTCCAGGGAGGAATGAGTTAAGACTGTTAGCAGTGTATACCAATGTTGGGAATGTATGCTATGTGAAGATCATCCCAGCTGCCAGCTAAAGCAAGCAGACCACAGTGATATAGGGAGATGCTGGAGGCAGATGATCACTTTAGTGATAATGGCAAAGACATCATTTCATATACCTGGTATAAGGCATTGATAAACCACTCTTATATTTTTACCAAGAAAGCAACATGCATAGAATATATAATTAGAAGGGAAGAGAAAGGAAGAATGACCAGTAGCAATGGATTTAATTACAAAGGTATGAGCGCACATTTGGGAGAAATGAAATAGGTTAGGATTAGATCATCTGTTGATCACTAGAAGTTAAAAATAATTGAATGGTATATAATAAATCAATTGTAAAGCACTTGAAAACAATACACTATTTATTTCCCAATGCAGTTAATTTGTAAGGACTCTAGGTGTTTTACAAGTAATAACAAAAAACATGCTAAAATCAACAATAATAAATGAATAATAACAATGAAATACAATAATAACAGTAATTGATTACAAATTTCAATAAAACATTCATATATTGACTAATTTATATATGTTGACTCTGTAACTAATCTTTGAAGCCTTCTGCCACAGCTGTATCTTTGCCAGCTTCCAGAAGGCCATAAGAATGGGAGCCATCCTTGCCCTAAGAGAGAAGCTATTCCAAAGGAAAGGATCTCCCACAGAAGATGCCTGATGCTGGGCTGCCTCCTGGCAGATGCCAGTCTTCATCAGGCTTTATCTGCCTTTTTGGATCAGTCAGGCATAAAATAATAATAATAATAATAATAATAATAATAATAAAAATAATATGACAAATTCGCTATTAATCAATTGCAAAAGGCAGCCTTATTAGGAACTGCTTCCATCCTGCGATGATATCTGTAATACCATCAAACATCCACATCTGCCTATCCCAGGTCCTGGGTAAGGACTTGATAGGTAGACAAAATGCCAAATCCAGTCTGAACATCTGGCTGACTGTGCGATGATCAATAATAATAATAATTAGGTACACAGAATAGTCATTAGGTACACAGCTGGAATAGTGGACTGGACTCAAACAGAACTAAAAGCAATGGATAGGAAGACCAGAAAAATAATGACAATCATGCCCTTCATCCACACAGTGACATTTTGACAGACTTTATCTACCAAGGCAAATAGGTGAGCGTGAAATGCTACAAGTACATCAGATGCTTGAAGAAGAAAAAATGGCTTTGGAAGAATATCTGAAGAACAATGATGAAGATGCACTGAAATTAGTATATCAGGAAGGCTTACTGACTACTGGAGAGACCAAACTGGCCTACAAGAAAGACCAAATGAAGAACAGAATAGAGGCATGGGAAGACAAAGCAGTACATGGCCAATACATTAAAAAAATAGCTGGGAAAGCAGATAACAAGATCTGACAATGGCTAAAAGCAGAAAAATTGAAGAAAGAGACCAAGGGACTAATTCTGGCTTAAGGACAAATGCATATAAAGTCAAAATTGAGAAGACAGCAACAGACAGTAAGTGCCACCTATGCAAAGAAGCTGAAGAAACAGTGGACCACCTGGTAAGCTGTTGCAAGAAGATTGCACAGACTGACTACAAGCAGCGGCATGACAAAGTCGCAACAATGGTGCATTGGAAGATCTGCAAAAAATATCATTTGCCTGTAAGCAAAAACTGGTGGGATCATAAAATAGAGAAAGTCATAGAAAATGATAAAATTAAACTGCTCTGTGACTTCAGAATTCAAACAGACAAGCACCTGCAACATAACACCCCAGACTTAACAATTGTCAATAAGAAAGACAAAAAAGTCTGGATAGTGGACGTGGCAGTGCCTGGAGACAGCAAAATAGAAGAGAAAGAACTGGAGAAGATAACAAAATACAAAGACCTACAAATAGAAATAGACTGTGGCAAAAAGCAAGCAAGGGTAGTACCAGTAGTAACAGGCTCCTTGGGTGCAATCCCAAAACAACTGGAGCACCACTTGAACACCATTGGCATTGACAAATTTGCCATTAGTCAATTGCAAAAGGTGGCCTTACTAGGAACTGCTTCCATCTTGCGACGATACCTGTAATACCATCAAACATCCACATCTGCCTATCCCAGGTCCTGGGAAAGGACTCGATAGGTAGACAAAATGCCAAATCCAGTCTGAACACCTGGCTGACTGTGTGATGATCCACAATAATAATAATAATAATAATAATAATAATAATAATAATAATAATAATAATAAGAAGAAGAAGAAGAAGAAGAAGAAGAAGAAGAAGAAGAAGAAGAAGAAGAAGAAGAAGAAGAAGAAGAAGTAGTAGTAGTAGTAGTAGTAGTAGTAGTAGTAGTAGTTGGAAGAGACCTTGGAGGTCATAGAGTCCAATCCCCTGCTCAGGCAGGAAACCCTATACCATATGGGAAAGGCATGGTTTTTTTTAAGATGGTCTTTTCAAGCCATATTGGACTTTAAAGGTAGATCAGTACCTTGAACTGTACTCTGCAACATTTTGTAACCAGCATTGTTTCTATAGCAATGGTACAATGTGTCAATAAAATGGCTGCCCAGTAAGCTTGGGGGCTATTTGGATCAGCTGAAGACTTTTTATGAAATCTTCCTATACTATTCCATCACCTATATTAAACAGATTTACAGGCTTTTGAGGAAACATCTCTGACAACTTCTGCAATATTCTTATTGCTTCAATTAATACTATCATTTCTTTTTCTAATTTCTGTGACAATAGAAACTTTGTTCCTGACCCTTTCCTATGGTATCTTTTTATATGTCTAAACACTGTTAGTTCCATTATTTTTCCACAGTATTTTTTTCTACAGCTTTAATATCCCAAGTTCCTTCTGCATGCTGTTTTGATAAGTGTTATAACCTATTTTAGACGTGCAAACTGTGTACAAGTAAAACATTGCTTTATAATAGTGTGTGTGACATCAGAGAACGTAATCCCAGTGTAGGAGAGAAGAGGAATAATTCAAAACATAGTATGCAAAAACATTACAGTGCTCTCTGATTATTTTTACTCATTAGTAAATATTTTTCCCAGTATTGTCATATTTATTGCTTGCCTTTGGGCACTTAAGTTTGAATTTGAAGTTGATTTCCATGGTTTCTAGGCATATTAATAATGCAGATTAGAAGAGCTTTGAGATATGAGGCTAAAGGGAAAAAATTGCTAAATTGATGTCTATCTCATTAGAAATATGAATTGCAAATGACAACTGATGGGAAACTTGTTTTATCATCGCAAATCTTTCATAACCTGTCAGATAATGCTAAACCTCAAGTTGCCCAATCTTAATATACTGTCTATCTGGTTCATCTTCTGAACTACAATTCAGGGACATCTGCCAATGAATAAAAATCAAGATAGCATGTGCAAACCATATGATCGAAGCCTAGCTCCTTTCTACATGCATGCAATGTTGACATATATACAAAGAATCAGGATTTCGATCATGAGGGCTTTGATCATTGATCAAAACTCAGCTTTTTGACTTTTTTGATCTCTCACCAGCAGATGCCCCTGCAAATGAATATTAAGAAATACAACTTCAAGGAACATATCGTTGAAAACCAGAAACAGTATCTCATTTATGATATAACTTAGTAAGTTGCCCTGATGCACATTAAGTAGTCTCAAGTTAAGATTTCTGTCACATAGAGACTAAGAAGGTTCTTGTCTAATTCTTGTGAGCGGATGTTTGCCTTTTGGAGCAAATATCTCTAAAACTGGGCTATGAACAAGGTAGCTGGTGCTGTATAGCCTGGTGCTGCTATATGAATGAAAGAAAAGTTAGGGGAAGAAAGGAGGAATCTGTAACTAGGGATCTAACAGGAGCAGGGATGACTTGAAAGCAAGATGAGAACTATCTGTTGAAAAAGAACTAAGATGACAGCATTTGGAAAGGACAAACCAGGAGTCAGTGAAGAAAGTTTGACTAGGGTCCTGGAATTCAAAAGGCTCAAAAAGACTTATTTTCCCCTTTGCCATCACCTCTCTAGGTTGAAAGTAAGTGTGAAAGTATGGAGGGTAGGTGTCTAACAGAGTCTAACAGAGTGAATATATCAAAGCACAGATACAAATATCTGTGTGAAGAAGGAGGGAGAAAGAGAAACAGTTAAGAACTTGTAAAAAGTTCTGAGTAGAAATGTATGCACGTATATAAACACATACTTTTCTAAGCTAAGGCCAGCACAATTCTTTAACTAGAAAAGCATGGTAAGAACAAACAGCACTGTACAGTATTTAGAGAAGAAGTCCGCGTGCACCCCTGTACGAGTGTTTGTGTCTGGAAAGATCCTGTCCTTTTTTCACCCTCTGGCATTCTACTCAACAGAATGTCTTTCAACTTTCTGCCGAATGTTCTGTCTGCTGTCCAAAATGGCCTGTGTGCTGGTCATTTGTGCAGTTGAACTAGCAGTTCAAAAGAGTTGACACACTTTTTCTGTGTCGAATCAAAATTGAACTACATCCTGATTTTCTAAGGAAGAATCATAACCCTCAAAACCCTCCTTTCTCATCCAATTGGTCCCATTCCATTCAGTTCTCTGCTTCAAATGGGACTGAAATAAATACTGGTATCAATCTATATGTCTAAAAGGAAGAAACTCCCTAGGACTCTGTCCTTATTGTACATATGAAATCATTTGACATTTTCACACATACACCCATGTACCCTTGTGTGGGCTACCTAGTAGGATGTCTGATGGCTGAGTTGATTTTGTGGGTATGCTAATGTGGAAGAAGATTTCTTTATAAAAGAAAAATGATAAAACAGACTGAAAATCTTGGAGGAACTCAGAAAAAACACCACTAATTTCTTTAGTATTTTCAATAATATTTCTAAAATCAGCTGCTGGGCTTTCAAAATGATATTTGGTGGAATGTGTTTATTTTGCTACACTTTAAATCATATATCATCTACATGTATATAGTTGGACATCTTCATAATCAGATATATTAAGAAAAAACAGAAACTAAACCAAAAACAGGTAGTCCTTGACTTACAACCATTCATTCAATGAGCCTTCAAAGCTCCAGAAGCTCTGGGGGAAAAAAGTGACTTACAACTGGTCCTTGCACTTACAATGATTGCAGCATCCCAGCATCATGGGATCACCATTTGTGACCCCCCCAGCTGGCTTTTGCCAAGCAAAGTCAATGGGGGAAGCCAGATTCACTTAACAACTGCAGCAATTAAAAACAATGGCAAAAAGGGTCCTAAAATTGGAAAAAGTCACTTAACAATTACCCTGTTTAGCAATGGAAATTTTGGTCTAAACTGTGGTCCTAAATTGACTATGACCTAAAACCAATTCATAGTTAGTGTAAGGAAGGGGATTTCTGTATAGGTATTGGAGCAATGATTGAGGAGGACAAATATTCTTCATGAGTTATAAACCGTTTGCTTAATTTAACAACATGCCCACATCTCCATAATGTTGAAAATGCTTGCTATTAGAATTTATAAAATAGTAACTGTTTCAATAGCATTTGACTTTCTTGATTTAGAATTTTCGAACTCTTCAGATGTTTTAACTTTCAGATGCAATTTTTGGTACAGTTTTTCCTTAAATGGTTGACAAAGGAATACGTAAATAACTGGATCAAGACAAACATTTGCAGCAGACAGTAGCAAAGTAAGTTCTTTTAGGTAAAACAGTATATTTTTAATCTCACAGTGGTAATCACCTTTGATTTGATTTAATGTATATGGGGCTCTGACCAGGTGGTATGGAACAAAACAAACGATAAATACAAGCATGATGGTGAAAATGTTTCGATTGGTCTTTTTCTTTACCAGCTTGGAATTTTTCTTAAATTTTTGATGTGAAATATATATTTTCTTTGCAATGGAACTGTAGAAGACTATTAGGAGAAAAAACACAATCCAGAAAATTCCTAGGCATGTGTAGCTTGAAGCTGTGTGCCATTGGATTCCAAGATGGCTTTTGAGTTTCATACAGTCATTTGAATTGTCTTCTGTAGGAGTTTGGTTTGTTAAAATAATATTGGGAAAAGAGATAAGAATCTGTAGCAGCCATATGACCAGACATACAATTTTGCTACACTGGACATTGTAAGCCGAAGTGCTGAATTGGGGCTTCATTATTTTAAAGCATCTGTCAAATCCTATGAGTCCAAATAATGTTATACTAATATACATATTTAGGTAAAAGATGACAGCAGAATAGCGGCAGACAACAACATCGAGCTGCCAGTGTCCAATTTTGGAGTCAGAAAATATTTTAAAAGGGTAAGTTAAGCTCATAATAAGGTCGGCTATGACAATGTTCTTGAGATAAACAATAAAACTTGTCTTGCTGGGAATGTGAAGAAAGATCCAAGCTGCCGATGCATTTAACAGTATTCCACCTATAAAGATGAAACCGTAGATCAATGGAACAACTTGTTGTGTAATGATTTTATTGCTACCACAGTTATTTTCTGAAGTATTGCTTGAATCGACCATGTTTAATTCATTTTCAGCTCCTGAAAATAAAAAAAAATCAAGTAAGTTTAAGAAAACAATTTGCATGCATTTTTCTCTTTTAAGATATCAGAAAGTCATATGCAATTGCAAGTAAAAAGGCAATATTCTCAAAGTATTACTATTTTGAAATATAATTTCTAGCAAATAGTTGTCACAAAAGCAGCATATGATTTTTTTAAAAATATTTTTATGTTCTTATATTTATGTAAACAGCTTCATCTAATGCTGAGCAGAATTTTTACTGATAATAATTAATGCTGAGATTCACTACTAAACAGCTCCTTGTAGTCCTGGGTATTATCAGAGAATTGTAATTTTGAATATGATAGAAGAAAAAATTAATTATTTCTACTGAAAGTTGAAGTCGGCCTCTGATAATATGTGCTTTTAGTTTTCTTAATAAGAATAAGGACTATTTTGCCATTATCTTTTTATGATTTTTTTCAACTTGCCAATTTAGTTTAAAGCCTCATTTCCTGGTGGTTTTCCAGTCCAGTATTAGCCCATAATAATTCTGCTCAGCTTTTAAAAGTTCTGCCAAGATTGTCTATTCTTACATAGGGCCAGTGACATATAAATATTTTAAGAAATACATAAGTAATAAGAAATATTCATTCCTGGTTCCTCCATACTTCAGAAACTCACCTTTTACAAAGCAGCTTTAAACAAGGTGGTCTCATTTTTTTAACTTCACCTACTTGTAAAAGATAGCTCACAGAAAGAAAACTCCATAAAAAGGATTCTATTTAGTTTTGAGGTAAATGAGTAAATGAGACGATAAATGCTTTCAGGTTTGTAAGACTGATACCAGCTATTTGAGGTAATCTAGACAAGAAGCACAAATCTTGAGAACTAACCTGGTTACTGTAACAAAATCTTGGAGATCTGAAAACACTTCCCCCTCCTCTGTCTTTGAGGGTCCCTTCTGAGATGCATCCCACACTCCTTTTCCTTCTGTGGGCTAAGACAGAGGTTTTCAACTTTTGTGGGCTCATGGACCAGAGGGAAGGAGAGCAGCTTTAAAATTGGTGTGTGCATGCACACACGGAGCCACGCACACTGGTGTGGCACTAGTGGCCCCATTCGTGCATGCGGCATGCTCTGGCACCGTTCACATGTGCAAATAGTCACGCACCTTCATGCATGCACAAATGGGCCACAGACACTCATCCTGTTCTAGCATCCCTGTTTGCGCCCATGTGCATGTGCAAACGGGGCTGTGGGTGCTAGTGCGAATGGGGGGAATGTGTGCCCGTGCGTGCATGCACCAGCCAGCCATTTCTGTGGCCTGGTGGCCACAAGCCTGCGCCCACTGCCCGTAGGTTGGGGACCCCTGGGCTAAGGTTGTCTAAGTTTCTGTTTCACAAAGTCATTCCCAGAAATATTACAGATACCAATGCATCTGTAGAGACCTACAAGAGATACACATAATCTATTAACTAGAATAACTCATCACAGACTTTATGCTTCTGATGAAATGGATCTATATATGATTATTTTTGTAAACAAATAGTGATGTTTACTATTTTTTTCTGAAACAGTCACAGTTCCCCTGGTTATGGACATTGATTTTTGCATACATAGAAGCCTCTTCAGTATTATCATATAATTTAAAAAATTATCACATAATTTTTTAGAATATAAGATTATGTGATATTTTAAAAATAAAATCATATGTGTAAGTATGTATATCATCCCTTGCTGAGCACACAGAAAAAAAATCTATCACATCCTTCAGTATATTGTTGTGTAATCCTGTTTCAATTGGGAAAAACATAACTGGATTAAAATTCTTGTTCAGGGCACCATAATTCAGTTACAATGATAAATGTTCCAATCCTACTTTCACTTCCCATAAATGCAGCTTTTCCTTCCAGTCTCCTTTTTAAATTATAAGTCTATAAAGTTGGTTTTTGTCATTTTACTATTTCTCCTTCTTTTTATAAGCTGAACATGAGAAAATCATAGGCAGACTTTTTCAATAGAAAAGTACTATTCATAAAGATACACTGGAGCTTATTTTTAATAAGATTTTATGGGACAAATAGTGAGGATTGCAGGGAATATGATTTTAGAGAAAAGAAGCAGTTCATGTCAGTTTATCACATTCATTTAATGATGTGCTGAGAAATATGAAACTGAAAATTAATGTTTTAGGTGCCAGAAATGCAGTTATTGAATCAAAATTACATGTAAATGTTGAAAAATTAAAGTAGATGAACTTACGTACCTTGGTAAAAGTTTGCTAAAATTGGAAAATAGGCGGGGAAACTTTAAGATGTAGAAATGCTGAAGGCACGAATAATATGCAATCTCTTGTAAGGGATAAATGATTCTTGAAATAAATGAAAGTGGTTGTCTTGAAGAACATGCCAAGAAGTATGTAGTGGATGAATGAAGACTATATTACAAGTAAGCTATAGATGGTTGGAATTAAGTTTTTCAGAGAAAAATGAGAAGTTTAAAAAATAAAAGACAATATGTGAAGTATATGAAAGTGATAGAAGGTTACACACGAGAACAGAAAGATATAGAGAAGTATAGTGAATGTTATTGGTGTTACTCAGCTTTCTTTTCTTTTTTTAAAAAATCTCCCTTTAGTTAAATCACATTAACTGACAAGTTACATAAATGGCTTTGTGAGGAATATTTCTGCATATATGGAAATTTCTATGATTGTCATTTACAACTGAAAACTTAATGAGGTGGTTTAAAAATGAAGGAACAGTTAAAAGAAAAATGTGGTATTTATGCAATTGAACTTGACTCTGGACATGGGAAGGCCAAAGAGATTGCAGAAATAAACCTTGCACAGGATTACATATATACTGTAATATATTCCCATATATTTATGGGAATCAGTGAAAAATATATCAACTGTTCTCTCTTTGAAACAACTCCCAAATTTCCTGCTGCATTTGTATGGCCTCTAAGACAACAGCTCCATACATAGATTCATTTCCTTCAATCAAATTAAGATCAGAGGAAAGGTGAGAGGTTGGAGACACTAATGTCATAGAACGTCTTGTGATCTTTTCAGACTGGTTGATTTCAATGTGAGGAAATCAATACCTATAATAATGTTTGTGACAACTTAGGACAGTATGGCCCAAGAAGAAATCTGGATCCATTTCATTTATTTCTCTGCTTGCAAACCAGAGTAGCATTTATACCAACTGTTAACATCCAAAGTAGAATTGTAGACCAAGATAAAAGCCCCTAAACCAAATATATCTTCCCAGGGAAATCAAAGCACTACTTGAATCTATGGTGTTCAATTGAGCCACAAAATATATTACAAAAATGTATTTCCAGGAAAACTAAACTTGTTAGCTCAGCCATTAAATATTTTGAAGGCCAAGGAAAGCTCAAAAGTTAGGAAATGGGAAGCAAGGGAACAGGAATAGAAAGTGAGAGGAAAAGCAAAAGAAAGTTACTTCCAAAAAAGAAACTATGTTCATAAAGTATTGCTCTTTTGTTTCCAAAAGCCTATTATCTTTGTAGTCCTGCCTTATTACTTCATAATTGTAGCCCAGTAGCCTCACTGAGTTCACTAGGCATTTTTTTTTACATACAGTGCAATAGCTGGCTGCCATATCCGTGTGTGTGTGTGTGTGTGTGTGTGAGTGAGTGTGTGTGTGTATATGTGTGTGTGTGTGTATACTGAGTGGCCTAAGCCTATAAGAGGGTCAATTATTTTAGACCTATTTGTGCCTCCATACAGCAATGTAATGTATCCTAGTATCCAGTTCAAACCTGTCCCTAAAATGCACAGCCAGTTCATTACGCATTTTTTTCATTTCTACTGTGCAGAGCTTTGAAATCACTGGTTTGCTTCGATGTCACAAAGTCAACATTATTCTGCCAAGTATGAAGTTTATAGAAAGAGAAAAGGGGCTTTAACAATGAATTATACTTTGTTTTAATAATAAAAAATAACTTAGCAATAAATATAGGTTAAATATTGTTATTTGTATAATGTGTAATATTTCTGTACAAAATAATAACCAGCATGGGCTCAATAATGTGATATTATTATTAAATATTCATAGTAAGAGGTGAGTCATTTATTCAGTAGCATACTAAACATGCTTAACAGACCATTGTTAAACATCCAATCCAATGACATAAATAAGTCTTTTCAAAGAGTCTTCTTCTAATTGTGGTACTTTTTGCCTTTCTGGTTTCACAAATGCACATACAACTTGTTTTCCATTTTTATTTTTCTCCAGAATCTTTTTTTTAAAAATTAAATTCTCATCCCATCCCAGTAACTATAAGTATATAGCTAATTATACTGATATATTTGAGATGGAAGCAATCTTTAATACAAATGCAATCAAATTTAACTTTTTAAAGCTTTTTTTTAAGTATCAGAGGTACAAAAATGATATAAATTAACTAGTTTTATAACTACCTGAGTAATTAGTTCAGTGGAAACATAATACAATGTAATGTAACTAATGCAATTTAATGCAATGCAACTAATAATGAACAAAAAAAGTTTTTTTATTTTTATCTGTAAAACTATTTCTTAAAATAGTATACAACACCAGTAATATGATGACATATTCAGCATACATTTACTCATTTGTTGTTTTTCAAATATCTTTTTCTACTCTGCAGTTTGGAGTTATAACTATGGCAAGATTTAAGATTAAGTATTTTGACAAGAATGCATTTTTAAACAAACAAACAAATAAATTTATAGTAACTTCTTACCAGTACAGACTTTGGTAGTTTTTCACATCCCTTTCAAATCCAGCCCGAAATAAAGTTCCCAGCACTTCCCCACACTGGTTTAAAAGTCCCAGAGTTGTAGAGTTTGCTGCTTCCAGCTGATGCTGCAGCTGACCATGAGCGGCTGATTAAACTGTGAGTGACAAATCTAAAAAACATGCCCCCCCCAAAGGAAACGCATGAAGCTGAAACCATAAAAGTTCCCTACTGGTCATAGCAACTCTTTCAAAATTCTAATTTCCTCCTTTCTTCCATGTCCAGTTCTTGGAAACTAAACAGTTCTCAAGAAATTGGCTTAAGCAACAAACTACACATTTATTTACTTTAGAAATATTCCAAAATTACTGAAGTACACATTTTCCATATTAAGCAGAAAAATATTTGACCATACATTTTTTTGTTTTCTTTTTTTAAGTGGTAAGATTTGATGAACTTTTCAAAGTGATATGTGCCTTGTATGGAAGCAGTGAAAATCTTTTCTAGGATTGCATTCTTTTTATGGAAGCAATGCTAGTGCTTTGCAAAAAGATAATACCCTGATTTGCAATAGCTGCAGATAGATGCTGTTAGATTTTAATTAGTGTGGTTTCCTTTTTTCTTTAACCCAGAAACATATTTTGTAATTCTTTTATTTTTATATTGAGACAGAAATGAATACTGTTTAAAATGAAAATATATGAAGTCATGATGAGTAAAATGTTAAAAACCCTTGTGGGGACTGCTGTATAAAATTAGTCATATCTCATAGAAAATTGCCACTTGCTGAGAGTAGCACAGGAAGAGTCCATAGTTGCAATTCCTGGTGTAATTATGTGAAAGAAGGAGGTTTTTTTGGTGCTCTTTTTCTGATTTAAAGTTAATTATATAAGGAATAACTGTTTCACTCTGACCCAATATTAATATTATTGAACACACTGAAATTCCTACAGTATAAATTCCAAACAAGAGTGGTGACATGAAATATAGCACTTGAATGAACCATCAACTAGATACACCTTCTGTCTGCTAAGATTGGGAAACATCCCGTACCACAATGTCTGCTTTACTTCCACATGAACTTTTAAAAAGAAGAAGTAATGGTGCTTATATAAAGTAGACTAAATTGCTGAAGTCATATACGTAAGAATGAAATAACATTGGGTGCTAGAACAATTCTTTCTGTACATACAGTATTTAAATTTCCTTAAACATTGGTATTACCTTCAGCATGATTCCTATTTGTTATATTTCTTTCTTACCTTTCCCATATTCTATGTTTACTTCGGTTATAAGCTGTTCTTGAGCATTTGTATTAAGAAGAACGTCTGTCCCATTAGGGCTTACCATCAGGAAGATATGATAACCTTTATTGTCAATTTTTTTTACTGTGAGTACACTGACCCACATTAAAAATGAAATTTTGTTGCCTGCTCTCAAAACAAAGTATATATCTACCTATACATAACATATATACACATGCTATATTAATCACCGTCTATTCTGAATACATAGCGGAAAGAGGAAACTTATGAGTTCACAAGATTGATGCTATATGGAACAAAACTGTTGCTGAATCTGGATGTTCTGCTTCAGATACCACAAAGCCTCCCAGAAGGTAACAAGGAAATATAACTGGGTATCAACTGTGTGCAAACTTTCAGCCTCAAAATACCAATCCAGTAGAGGTGGTCCTTTATTTACAACCATTTGTAAACCATTTATAAACCATTTACAACTTTTCAAAATTACAATGGCACTGAAAAAAGTGACTTGCAACCAGTCCTCACATTGCAGTATTCCTTTGGTTATGTGATCAAAATTTGGGCATTTAGCAATTGGCATGTATTTATAACAACTACAATGTTTCAGAGTCATGTGATTGCCATTTATTACCATCCCAGTCAGCTTATGACAAGCAGTGTCAGTGGGGGAAGCTGGATTTGCTTAAAGATTCATTTACAATTTCAGTGATTCAGTTAACAACCAGGGCAAAAAAGATTGTAGAAGAGGGTACGGGCTCACTTAACAACTTAGCAATGGAAATTCTAGTCCCAATTGTGGTTGTAGATTGAGAACTACCTGCATGTCACTGTATTTCCCAAGAAATTCACAGGAAAGTTTTGATGTCCTTATACAAGCACGCAGAACAACTATGAGTAGAGTGCTCTATGTCAAACCCTTAACAACCATCTGCCACCATGAAAGTTAGAAGATCACAGAATGTTATTAATCAGATTTATTTAAAGGAAAACAGAAGTTGGATGATAGAATCTTGCCAACTAAGTAGGTTTTCTTTAGCATATTTTTCTCTATAATTTGTTGGGAGCAGCTTTCCTTAATTTTTCTAATTACAGGAAATTCTTAACTTGTAACCAAATTGGGACTAAAATTTCTATTGCTAAGTAAGGCAGTTGTTAGGTGGTTTGTGCTGGATTTTATGACCTTTTTTTGGCCAAGATTGTTTAAAAAAACTGCAGTTGTTAAGCAAATCCAATTTCTCCCATTGACACTGCTTGTCAGATGCCATCTGGGAAAGTCACAAATAGAAATTATATGACTGCAGCACACTGCAACCATCATAAATACTTGCTGGCTGCCAAGTAACCGAATTTTGATCATGTGACTCTAGCAATGCTGCTATGGTCATAAATGAAAGGATGATTATAAGTCTCTTATTTCAACCCCATTGTAACTTACAGGCTTTTGCTGTGGGAGCACCTTTGGCCTTTGGAATATCCTAGATGTTTCTACTGTCCCAACTCTGAGTGCCTTTCACAAACAAATAAAACGAATACACTACTTTTTCTATCTCCCTTTGGCTTCAGTTGATTGTGATTGGCCCTCATAGGAATTGATTTTATTTTGTTTTATATACTTTATATTATTTCTTCTTTTTAATCCATTTTATATGTTGCTGTTGGCTGCCGAGAAACCTTTTCAAGTGGGCCTATTTTAAAATAATGCATAATTAAATTTATATGAATTTTAAAAAGGCTTGATGCATGTATTAAGATAACTCTGTCATAAGATCAAGGAGTTGCAACTGGATTGAGTTTAACTATACACTAGAAGCACTTAAAAATGATTTTTAGAGTGTAGGAGAAGTGGAAGAATCTAAGGGTGGAGTTAAAAGAGAGATCAGCCTAGAATCCCTACATAGCCACAAGCAAACTAAGTCCAACCTCCTTTGAATTCTGTTGACCTTTATCTGACTCCAACTCTAACTCCATTCTCCATTAGTTGAGAATATTCCTGTGCATAGGCATGAGTAGCAATACAACAGTTTAATAGGACCTTCAAGTAAGGACTTGTTCTTTCACACCTGACATGAATTGCATTTAAAATCCACATCTGAATTAATGTTAGTATGAACTTGTTAGGCACGGCACTTTATATGTTATTAACAGTATTATATTGCCACCTTTTTTGTCTGTGCAATATAACTTTTTAAACTTCTATTTGATAAAATTCAAAATGGCATTTTTGCTTCTATTGCTTGTTTTAAAGATTTGCATTATGATTTTCATTGCTTTAGGAAAATTTTGTGGAGAAGTTAATATACTTTTCATACTTCAGGTAATGCTGTAAATATGAGTAGGTGAATTGGCTTTATTTTTAATTAGTATTCCTTTTTTTCAAGGGGAAAATAGGTTGGAACAGGACCTATTTGGCACAATGTAAATCCTTTCCTGATTATTTGTTTGCTATTTAAATTATTCTTGTGGTTTATGCCAAAGTTAACCTAATTGGGAACTAGATTGGAGAAAGTGTCCAGCCATATCTTGTCATATGAATTAAAAATAGCCTATTATGAGTTCTCTGCCTAAATTGATTGTATTATTGCCTGATTTAAGTCTTACAGAATATCAGTTAGGCAACTGTGAGTTTGGGCAAAGCCATACTTTCTGTTTGGCCCATTGCTAGTATAGCCATCTATCATTTCTTGATTGCTGAAACCTATGACATCCTCTTTCTTCCGTTCCCAGGCCAATGGAAATGAACCTCACACCTGTATTTTCCAGCTTCTGGTTCAAAACTGGTATTTTCTGGCCTAAACAGATAGTCTTCAGGGCTTACTTTCAATCTATTGACAGCTTAGCTCTGATTGGTCAAAACACCTTACATGCTTCCTCCCCTCTAATGTTGGGTCATTGTCCTGTACAGCCATTTTGTTCTGCTCTATCAGGCTACAATGTCCTCCGATGTTTGACAGATACTATTTTTTCATCATATCACTTGATCCACCAGTGGCCAGTTGAGCCAATGAACTATCCTCAACCCCAGAAATGGATGCTTCATTCAATCCTTACCTGTCCCAGTGGGCTCCCTTTTGATATCTACCGATGCCGAATGAAGTATGCACCCCCTGATTTCTTGCCCCCAGCCTTAGTCCCGCAAAGCTTCTCTATTCTTTTTTTTTTTTTAAATATCTTAAGGATGTTTAGAAGTGTAGAAATGTTATAATCAATGTTCTTTGCTACAAAATTCTCATGGATTTTCAGATGAGCAAAAGCAAAAGGAAAACATGTCCCTGAATGCATTAAGTACAGTAGCATCACTGCAATAATGGTACTTATAAGTCCACAAAGGAAAGGTTATTGTCAAAAGACATAATATGGGAAGGGTAGGGCAGGAAGGACAATAATGGCATCCGTATGTGTGAATATCTGGGAAAAAAACAAAGGAAAATATGAGCTGGTTAGGAGGGAACAATCAACAAGGCAGGGATGGGAAGGGCAAGAAATAGGGAAACAACAAATCAGACCTTATGTTTATGGCTCAGTCCCATTGCCAACTCATCAGACTGGGATTTCTGAAGTTAGCGTTAGAAGCAATTGGGAGAAAAGCAACATAGCCTACAGTTTTGAACTCTCTTTAGACAGCATTGTTTGAGCAGCTCAGCTCTTGCATTGTATCACAACCTTGCTTTTGTCCACTAGATGGCACTATATATCTTTTTAAATCATCCTAATGTAAGTAAAAAATACTCAATCGTCAAGCGGAGATATATTTTGTAATAGTGGACTGCCTACCTTCTTTTCAAACCGAAAATCATCGAAAGGATGTAAATGTTAATCATATGTTGCACTGAATATATTCAGATTTGTATAACAAGGCAAAGCACCTTTATTTACAAATAGAAAACATTGGTACAAATAACAATTAAAAAAAAGTTTAGCAATGATGTCACAAATCAGTATATTCATGATAAATGCGCACCTCTGACTTTCTGATACTCTGAAAGGATCTGATGCTTTCACTCCTTGTCCGTATGTTTGATTTTCTGAAAAGCCTCCTTGAAAATGATCTACACATAAAAAAGTAGATGATTGGATCTAGGCAGACATTGCATGCTGATAGAAAAATAGTCACTTCCTTGCAGTAGTACAGGATCTTGTGAGCTGAAGCATCTAAATAATAATCTAACTGGCACAAATTGAAAAGGATTGTGTATAGATGGTATGGCAAAAAACAAATAAAAAATACAGTCACCACCACCTTTATACTTTGACTGTGTTTCCTCTTGTGACTTGAAGAGCTAATAAACTGCTTGCTGGATTTATAGATATATTTGGATATTTCAATATAACAACCTATTAATACAATCATCACAATGACAAATATGCAATTATTGAAGTAAATGACAGCATTGTGCCATTTGACTCCCAAAGGGGTTTTCAGTTTTAAGCAGTTACCCGTATTTATCCTAGTTGTGTAACTATTAGTGAGGACCAGATCTGGCAAAGCTAAAAATGCCATAACAATCCAAACCACAAGTGACAGAATCTTAGTGAATGTAATGCTATACATCCTGGAATCTCCAAATGGTTTTACCACTTTTAGATAGCGGTCAAGGCTAATAAGTCCAAGAAAAACAATTGTTGTATACATGCTGGCATAAAACAAAACTATTGTATACCGGCATATGAAAAAATGGAAGTACCATGGCCCCAGTCTTGAATCTTCAATAATTTTAAATGGAAATGTCAGAGTCATCAGCAAATCTGCAACTACAATGTTTTTGAGGTATAAAATAAAGCTGGTCTTGCTTCTGATGTGGAAGAAAATCCATACTGCCAAGCTATTCAGAAAGATGCTTGCCAAGAATATAAGGAGGTAAAGCATAGGTAAAACAATAGTTGTAAATTCATTATTGGTAGCATTCCCAATTAGGTCTTGTGAATAATTGGTCAAAAGATTGATGTCTTGACTCGGAGATTGATGATCTATAGAAATGATGGTTAAAAAGGTTGGTTAAAAATTGTAACTATTTCAACGATGCTCTCAGGTAAGTATTAACAGAAATCATAATCATATTGAAGCTGGCTCTGCATGATGGGCAGAAAAGACTGACTCATTTTTCTTTGATTTTAGTTCACAGGCCCAGGAGTCATAAATCATAAGAATTTGCAGTGTGATGTGTGTTACTTTCCTTCATTATGACAACTCAGTCTTATGTTGAAGTTCCCCTCTTTGCTCAACCCAAGAGTCTTTAAGAAGTACTTTCTAGACATCCTCTCATAAATAAAAATAAATAAATCTCTTTCCTAGCATCTATTGGACTGGCACATATGTTGATATAAGAACTGACCAGTTTTCTACCAGGTTTACATATATAACTGTTCTTGAAACTAATCTTCATATTGTATTATTTTATTGTGATTGTAGAGATGGTCTGTAATCTACCAAGCCATTAGAATTAGTGCTTTAATATCATGCCATTTTGGTTTTATGGCGAGGATGGGAAACTGGGAGTTTCAATAAAGTATAATCCTTTTAAAATAAGTCTTTACACATATGAATTGATCATGCAGTGGATAATAGTAAAGAGCATTTGATCATGACTGCCTGTTAATGTACTATTACATGCATTCACACAACGTCCTGTAAATACTTGAAAGTAATTCTGAACATGTAATTGAGAAATTGCCTGAGAATGCAGCATTAGAATTAGTGGATAAAAATTATAAAAAGGCAAAGTTCAGCATTAGAAGGAATTGTGGAATAGAAGAATTGTGCAGCAGTGGAATGGACTTTCTTGGGGAAAGTTGTCTCGTAATTAGTATGAAATATTTAAGCCAAGGATAAGGGTAATAAAAAATATGATAAGCTTTCAAAAATGCTCAAGTTGCCAGAAATGAGCCCTGAGCTGCTTGTTGGACTTGAGGTTCTCAAAGATTATTTTATGGTCCCTCAAGTGTCTAGGAATAATGCTATTGGGCATGATAACTGAGTTGGAGTGTTTCCATATTCAACTGAATATAATCACTGAAGAACAACACAGAAAACTATTGCTGCTTTAATACATTCTTGAGAGTTTTTTAGAAGCTTCTGGTTGACCACTATAAGAAACAGGGAACTAGACATGATGGATTTTAAGTCAAGCTTTTTCTGCAGTGGATCATATAAAGTTTGACATCTAATAATCCATTTGGGAAATTTTTCCCTCTAAAGCTGCCTTTCAGCAACAAAACTGGTATTTCAAGAAAATTATTATACTCTACTGTATTAGTATTTTATAAAAAAAAGCTTTAGTTACAGCAATGAGGTGGCAGGGAGTACATTGTTTTAAATAATGAATACGTTTAATGATGCAGATGACTAAGTTCCTGCTGCATGCAAGGGCTTGTTTAGTTTAGTCTCTGAAGACTTAAGACAGGGACACAAAGAGGAAAAATTAACTCCTGAAGACATTTGTTGTGTTCAGCATTTGGACAATTCGCTAAGAAAACTTTGAAACCTTTTTTTGAATACTCCACGGTTAAAATATGAGACTGTCCAGTAAGATACATATGTGTGAACTACTGAATAAAGGAAAAATAGTTATATAGGACTGGACAGGTAACTGAAGTCTAAGTCTAAATTTATGCCAGTGTCGTTGCTTTTTTAAATGCAAAGGTCATAAAAGCATGGATCAACTATACTGAATTAGGCTGCATTTTTGTAGTTGATTACAAATATTGTACAACATGTACCCTAGTTAATATTAAACATGGTTTACACTGTTAGAAGAATGCATAAAAAAGAAGGAATAGTTTATGGGAAATTCTTGAGGAAGATCTGCAACCAGTTGCTAGGAGGAACACTTTTAAAGATTAATAAAATAAATGAGAAAGATGGAATAACTCATAGAATAGCTCTATACATGCTTTTAAGGCAGGAACACAGAGAACAGTTTTAGATTGGAAAAGGTTTGTGGGGACTTTTTTAAACTAAATAATGTAATTATTAGGACAATTAACAATGTTAATAATAATATGAACTATAATTGAAGTAACTTTATTAGGCCAAATAAAATTTTGCATAATTGTTGCAAACTTTCAATTCATTAAAGCAGGAAGTAAATTTATGAAATATTATAAAGAGAATACAGAAGAGGAAATATAGCTGATGTTTGGACTGAGTCTAAGAAATCTAAGTTGGCATTAGCATAATAAAGTTATTGCCTTAAGGATTTTAGATTTTTTTTTTTTCCTAATTTCCAAAATAGGGCTTCTTCTGTTATGTTCATCTCATGATTGAAATAATATTATGTTCCTGGGCTAAAACTAATATTATTTTATTGAATATTTAATTTTAAACTAATATTAATGGTATCAGCATTTCAGATGATAGCATGAAATAAACTGAGGCTTAAGCACTTAGCACCTCTTTTCTCCAATATATTTTTGGCTGTTTTAAACTTCTAAAATTTAATATAAAAATAATGGCTACAGGAAGAAAAAGGCACTTTACCTCTTTCAAAACAAATTATTTTCTGATGCCTTCTTTTAATATTTAATGAAATTGAGATTCACAAGAAGCTAAATGTTTCTCAGGAGCTTCATGAAATTGCATTGTTTTATGTATAGCAGAGGTGTAATTTTGTGGGAAAACATACGCTTACCTAATTGAACAACTTTACAGCTTAATCAAATATAATTCACATATAAAACAATAAATAAATTGGCTATAGTGTCAATAGTTTTCTTTGAAAGTATTTGCTTTTTTTGTATCATTAACACTATTTTGTATGACTTCATCAAGAGTACAGATTATTCAAAATTCTGGCAATTTTTCCTAAATGTTATATGAAGATTAGAAAATGTACTCATTATGACACTGAAGCCAATTTGGTGTAGTGGTTAAGGGTTCAAGCAAAAAAATGGGAGACCGTGAGTTCTAGTCTCACCTTAGGCATGAAGCCAGCTGGGAGACCTTCAGACAGTCATTCTCTTTCAGCCCTATGAAGCAGGCAATGGCAAACCAGTTCCAAAAATCTTGCCAAGAAAGTAGTAGGGACTCATCCAGGCAATTGCCAGGAATCATGATTAACAGTATTGAAAAGGAATGAAATAATCATAACATTTGCTTGCTAAATGTTATGTGAATCTTGCAAAATTATGCTGAAAAAGCAGAAGAAACCATTTAAAAGTTATAGAAGTCCTTTTCTCTTTTTCAAAAAAAAAAAAAAAAACCAATTACCTGTAAGGTTCAGATATGATCTATTAGACCCCATTATTACTGTTGATTTGCACATCAAATGCTTTTCAGAAATCATGTTGGTGGCAACTGATGGATTGTGCAAATTTTAATTTCTGTAAAATATAGAAATGAAAATATATTTTCAGTGAGCAAATAATTCAGTATAACTATCTTATCTATAACTGGATAGGAAATAAACAGATGGAGATGATAGCATCTTTGTTAAGAAACATGTTACAGTTATCTTCTCTACTGCCATTATTTTATGCTTTCTTTCCATATCTTATAAATAAATGCAAACCAAGCTCCTCAAATGAGTAGCCTTGATTTGGCTGGAATACTCGATTTCAAGTAATGTTAATATTATTATTTTTTTCAATAATGACCATATTTCTAATTGTTAATATAGTTTGCATTCTTCTATATGAATGCTTCCTATTTTGTTTTAGCTATCCAACTGTGTCTTATTCCTCTTCCTTTAATCCTTCCTAGAAAAAGATCAAGGTTTCAAGAACTATAGTTGAACTCTATGCTGGTGGTTTACTCAAATCACCAAACAAATAAGAATTGTCAAAAGCCTCCAGTGATAGAGCATTCATAACTTCTGAAGGCAAGCTGTTCCACTGGTTGATTGTTCTCACTGTCAGGACATTCTTCCTTAGTTCTAGGTTGCTTCTCTCTTTGATTAGTTTCCATCTGTAATTTCTTGTCTTGCCTTTGGGTATTTTGGAGAATAGGTTGATCCCCTCTTCTTTTTTGGGCAGCTCTTCAAATATTGGTCTATCATGTCTCTCCTTTTCACAAGATTAGCATACCCAGTTCTGCAACCATTCATCATATATTTTAGTCTCCAGGCCCTAATCATCTTTGTTGCTCTTCTCTGCACTTAGCAATATTTTCCAGTCACATGAAAGTTAAACAAATTAAGAAACCATATCATTATAAACAGAGAAAGGAATACTATTGAATCATTCTGTTCCTAGAATTATTTAACCAGGAAAAAAGAAATACTAATATGTGGAGTTTATTTGGATGATGTGCAGGGATTTTCCACTATTTGTACAAGTCATCAAACCTCTCCTCAACTTAGTTTCATTGTGATACTTCATGGAATGATTTTTATAAAGCTGCTTTAGCTGTAAACAGAGAATTTGAGTGTATATATGGATAAGCAGAGTTATCTTGGCTTTCTGCATGCATCAGAAATCCTTTTAAACTGAGGTGGAGATAAATCACATAAATATTTGTCAGCAGAGGTTTGCCCACATAGTGTTTTTAGCGGGCACAGTATTTTTTCTCCATTTTGTCTGCATGTAGACATTTATGACATTTTCTGACCAGCAACATTGTTCTTATGTACAGTATATTTCTATAAAAGATACTTTGGAACCTGTATGAGAATTACTGAATACCAGATGGTCTGCTATGTTTTGGGCACTTGGAAAATAAAATAGTTTGTATGCCTAGTGTTTATATAATAGCAAAACAATGTTTATATACAACAAGTATTGCATAAACAGAACTTATTGGGATCAAAATTGTTCAAACTATGGGACTCATTTGAGACTGCTTGAAGAAAAGAAAGTGTGTGTGAGAGAGACAGGGAGTGACAAAGAGAGAACGACAATCCCTTAGCAGTGTATTGGGACCATCATATTTTATATGAAAGGCTGAAATTTTTCCTTCATAACAATGACTTCAAGTCTGTTATCTTCATAGAGAGCTATGAATGCAAGAAAGTAAGAAGGTACTGACATTAATCCTTATGGCAATCCATGCAATCATGGAGTTTGAAGCAGGTATAGTCTATTCAAATATAACATAATTTATGATGCCATAAGAACATATGTTAGAATGTATATACTGGAATGTCACGTTATAGCCAATGTTTTTTTTAATTGTATTATAAATAAAATTTTGAAAAAAAAGAACATATGTTAGAATGTTGGAAATGGTTTTAAAATCATGTAACATTTAAAGAAGAGTGCATGTATAGGGTTGGAGTAGAAAGGAATAAAAGTCAACTAATTTATTATGAATCTCCAAATGGAAGCTATTAACATTTTGCTGTCCATCAGGTCTTAAAGTCATTCTGAAATTTCATGGCCAATTGAAGATTGCCTCCACATTTCATTTTGTCAAATGTATGTGATTGTTACTTGTGTATTCAGAAGGGAGTGACAATCAGTTTGATTTCCATTGTTTGCACTTTTTCATTTTATGCATTTTTGACATTAATTTATGATAAAGCAAGTCTTCTTGCTTCATTGTTCTTAATTGCCTATTGGTCATAAATGTCTGAATCTCGCTCTTGAAGGAATTCAGTTTGACAGCATTTAACATGTTAAAAATTCCCCCTGTCACTCAACAAAATAATCCACTGCCTTGCAGTCAATATAAATTGCTTCTTATTCATATCCAAATAATCCTAACCAGGTGTGCCCAGATAAATGCTATAAAACCTTTATTGTGTGTTGTAAATATTTTAGGTTTGATAATTTGACTATCAACAGAGGTTTTAGTTGTCCTTTGCTAGTGCACTACATGGCTGTTTCTACAAGAATTTTTTTAAAAAGAGGAATATTTTTAACCACTAATTTTAACAGATTTTGTTATTCTGTGTTGTTTAACATCTATAAATTTAGAGTTTATCAGATGGAATAATTGTATAAAAATATATACAGTGTTACAGGTTTGTCAGTAAGGTTGATGGACTGGTTTAGGTATAGAAGTAACAATCTTACTCAAGAAACAAAATCATAGATTGAAGGATAATATATAATAATATCCAATCTATTTATATATGTTTCAGAATGAAGGATGATAGAAAACATTGCATAAAGAGACACAAATTTCATCTTGAATTGCCACTTCCATTTCCATCTGTTTTGTTTGTTTCAGTATCTGATTACAAACAATGCAACAGTTTGAATTCTGGATGTATTTTTGTAGTCTGCTATGGATGCTCTTTCCTTCTTGAAGCCTGTGAAATAAATATTTAGCAGGTTGACAGAAAGTCTGTTCTGTTGGAGAAAAATCTCCTTCTCCACTCTGGTAGAAATGAAGGAGGCTGTTTGACAGGGTGGGAACATTTGCTATTTGTATATTTTTTGTTGAACTCCATAAGAGATGATTTTGTGTAATTGTCTACTGCAGTGGAGCACCATAAAGTTGCCATCATTAGTTTTTACAAGTTTTTACTCTAGTGCAGGGATAGGCAACCTTGGCTCTTTTATGACTTGTGGCTGGGAGTTGAAGTCCACGAGTCATAAAAGAGCCAAGTTGCCTATATCTGCTTTAATGGATTAATACAAGTCTAGTTTTTTCAAATAACGATGAAAGGTATCATGGGAACTTTCTTGTATATTTTAGCCATTCTTCCAGTTTTTAGGTAAAGAGCCTTGAACAGGGCAGTGGTAGGTTTTTTGCAGGCAAACTTTGCTATATATACCAGAGCAAATATGGATTATATATTAGAACAAATCAGTTTGGTAAACAAATCACACATCTTTTTATACATATCTTCAGTCAAAGCAAACATCACTGTTTGACTAGACTATATTTTGGGGAATATAGCTAGAACATTATCTCTACTCAATGAATCTATTATATTTATGTTTTAGACTACAATATTGTTAGGTAACTGTCAGAATTTCATAGTTTAATTTAATTGTAGACACAGTGTGAAATTATCTTTTAATTTTAATAACACATACATTTATAGAATTGGGAAGAAAGTTAGAAGCCATCTCCTGCAACCCATGCACTGTGTAAGATCCACTAACGCAACTCTGACAAATGACTATTCAACTTTTACTTGAGGAGTGGCAGCAAAGTAGAACTCACCCCTTCTTGTCATAGCCTGACTGACAGCTTGCACAGTCAGGAAGGTCCTTCTGACATCTAGACAGATTTATTTCCTTGTACTTTTGCAGATCACACAAAATGATAATGGGTGACTAATATTCTAAAGGAGATTTATTCATCTTCCTTATCATGTAATTGCTGAGAACAGCAATATAGATGATTACAATGTAGATTATTAGAAAGTCAAAGTTTTGCTGAGATCCATATAAAATATGCGCATAGTATTCACATAATCTACTAAAATAATAATTCTGTTGAAGGAAATAATGTTCATCTAATACAATTAATTAGAAACTAAACTTTTGCTAGCTGCTCTTAACTGTAACATGCTGTTTAATAATCTATTGGAAATTTATTACCTGTCAATAATCCTTGACAAATCTATATTTATGGATTTTCCCCAGCCCCATCATTTTTGAAGATGGAGATAGAATATGTTCTCTTCCAGTCTCTTGACACCTCACCAATCTTCCAGAAGTTCTCAAAGATTATAAACAGCAGTGCCGTTCTCATTTCTGCTAGTTTCTTCATTGAAATTAGCTAAGCTCTCTCTTAATCCTTCCTTGTTTAGTAAACTTTAGGCCCCACCTTCTTCCAATAGCATAACAATTGCTAACTAGGTTCTGTTTCCATTTTGAGAGAAGAATGCAAAAGAGCACTTAAGAAGTAGTATCTTCCCATCATCAACCATTACCAGTTCATCACTTTCTTCTCGCTGTACACCTACTGGCATTCTCTTTTTGTCTCTCATGTACCCAAAGGGTCATTCTTTTATCATATAAATTTCAGTTCAATTTTAGCTTTTTAATACTATTCCTACCAATTTCTGAAGACTTCATAATCTTTGTATTCTTCATTGGTTATGTGTTTCATTTCCTATCCATCCCCCTTTTTCTTTTCAGCATTTTAAAGAGATCCAAGTCATAATTTCTCTATTTTTTTTTCTTGGTGTACAAAATATTCATGATAGCTCATAGTTTATATATTGAATTCAATGATAATATGATTGTTGGGTGAGATTGGCCAAAATGTACAAAAATATGAATCCGGAATGCTGGAAATATAAAAATAAGGAGGGAACATTCTATCACATGTGGTGGTTGTGCCCTAAAGCAAAGACCTATTGGGAACAGATAAGGAAGTGGATACAGGAGATAACTAAGGTGCAAATTGAACTCAAACCTGAACTATTTCTTTTGGGTATAATAAATTTAAAGATGGAAAAACAACTCCAATACATCATTAT